ATTATTTTTTTTTGTTGACGCACATGTCAACTTCTGTCCTAAGGGACGGTAATTTGTCCCACTTTTGTCTTAATAGCTGCTACTACTACAACATATTGCTCCACGTTATATAAGTAAAAATAAAATAATCATGGAAATTAGAGTCAGTCTATTAGACGTCTATTCCAACTAGGCTTAGGATAAATCTCACAAGCAACTATACTAAGTGACATATAAATCCGAACACCCAGTTTAAATGGATTTATTTTAATAAAATTTTGTATCAGAACTTAATGAAGCATAATAAGTAAATGATAAAAATTTCAAAATGATTGCACTGCTTTAAAGCCCTTTGACCTTTAATAATGTGCTTCTGATCAGGTGGTCAATGTCCTCCTGTGGTATCTCATTCCAGGCAACCACCAACTCCTGTCGAAGTGCTTCTAGAGTCTGAGGAGGACGTTGCAAATTGAGCAATCTCCTACCCATCATATCCCACACGTGCTCTATTGGGGATAAGTCGGGAGATCTTGGTGGCCATGGTAACAATGTGACATCATTATGTTGAAAGAAGTCTATTGTGACTCTTGCAACATGTGGTCGGGCATTATCTTGTTGGAAAGTTGGATCTGCCAGGGTGTCAAGATAGGGTAAAAGATGGGGTTCTAGAACTTCGTGGATATAACGCTGCGCGTTCATGTTACCTCTGATGAAGATTAAAGGTGACCTGGAACCATAAGCTATAGCACCCCAAACCATAACTCCAACAGTGTGATGAACATGTCTTTCAACAAAAAACTGTGGATTCCTCCTTTCACCACGTCGCCTTCTAACCCTGGCACGACCATCATGCATGCCTAAAAAAAATCGAGACTCGTCACTAAAGACAATACTGTTCCATTCCTGATCCCAGAGTGACCGTTGTCTGCACCACTCAAGGCGATTACGTCGGTGTTCTCGAGTTAAAGGGAGGACCCAGTGTGGCCGGTATGAAAACAAGCCAAAACTTCTCATTCGTCGGTAAACACTTCGCATGCCAATAGGTCTTCCGTGTTCTGCAAACCATTCATTTGCAATGGACCTGGTAGTGGAGAAACGGTCCCTTAAGGCCAATAATCTTAGGCGGCGATCTTCACGGTCTGATGTTCTACGGCGGCGTCCAGTGCCCCTTGCTCTTTGCGTACGGCCTTCTCGAAGCCATGCCTGACAACACCTAACCACAGTGTCTACACTTCTTTGCACTCTAACTGCAATTGCCCGAAAAGAAAGTCCAGCTTCCCGAAGTCCCACTATACGGCCCCTATCAAACTCACTAAGTTGACGAAATCGTACAGGTCTCCGTACTCTAGGCATCGTAACCGATCGTAAAGGATGTCAAGAACCAAAATCCGCCAACGTTGATTCTTTACTGCGGCTGAAATATTCATTTTTAGAGCGTTAGTGAATTAAAAAAAAGCAGTATAAAAACCGGAATGTCCAATTGATAAGGCTGAACATTTTTTCACTTGTTATTTACAGTAAGATAAATACATTCACCAACTTTTATTAAAATAAAACCATTTAAACTGGGTGTTCGGATTTATATGTCACTTAGTATATTTGGCCAATTCTTTGAATCGTAGTTCATATGGCGTTAGGCTTGGACATAAACAGACCATACTCTAATTTATGACAAAATTGCGTGTGAAGTGCAGAGTCAACCTACTTGACACCATTTTTATGTATACGATGATTATGTCCTACTGCGGCATAAACCTCGCTCTAATTTTGTCTGGTTTCGCATGCAGATTGCAGGTTCGCAAATTTGTGAAAAACATGGTATTACATCACCGTACGTAAATTGCTTGAAAATCAATAAACAATGTAAGCAACAGCTCACGAATAAAAATACCAACAGACGTAGCTCGATTTATTAGGTAACAAAATTTAATTAATTTTATTTCAGGATAATTATCTCAGAATGAATGCGACAAGACGTTTATAATTAGTCAAGCACTTTTAGGCTTCATTGGTTCCCTTTTACCTGTCATCCCCAGGTGCCATTCAGTGCTGGGTTATCAGCCACTTCATAGAAAGTGATTAAAATTTTAACTCTATATTCGCAAAATAGCCTGTTAATGATGTGTTGAAGCTCCTCTGTTGGGTACACATTCGTAAAGTCGTCGCGGCAGTGGTTGGATTAGGTGATTGATGTCTTCTTAGTGTATTGTATCCCAGGTCATCTGAATTTGGTTTCGTAGAGCCTCCAATGTTTGTGGAGGGTGCGGTGAATTTTGCAACCTTCTTCCCATGATGTCCCATTCATGTTCGATGGGGGAAATGTCTCGAGATCGAGAAGGCCACTGAAGCATGTTTACTACTGACGCTTCTAAAAAGTCTAAACTAACACGTGCGACATGAGGTGTGGCATTGTCTTGCTGAAAAAGTTGATCTTGCAATGTTTCCAAAAAGGAAAGCAAAACATCGTGGATATAACGCTGGGCAGTCATGTTACCTCGAATGAATAAAATAAAATATAAAACCGATACATTGGACCCTTTAATACAAATTTCTTTATATTTTTTAGTCGCATGCAAGCTAAATTACAGGACATTTTTATATGACTGCCGAAGCCAAGCGAGCTATCAAATATAATTCCTAGATTTTTTGTCTCCTGAACTATGGGGATTCTGTCATTGTTAATAGAAATTACTAAATTTTGTTCAAAATGTTCTCTTTCATTACTGTTTTTATCCATAACCGTTACTTGCGATTTTGAGGGGTTTAGTTTAAGATTGTGATGCTTTGCAAATCTGTCAATTCCTTGGAGATCTGAATTTAGTTGTTGTTGTGCAATATGGATTGTGGTTTTATTGACAGGGTGAGTCATCTCCATATTGTTATGTAGATTGAAAATAGTAAAGGAGATAAAATTGAACCTTGAGGAACTCCTCTTTTTATAGGTTTAAAATCGGTTTTGTAAATAGCGGAATCATTTGCTAACATAACACAGTTTGAACGGTTGCTTAATTATGTTTTTATGAGATTTACGGAGTTCTGCGAAAACCCCTGGTAATGTAACTTAGCTAGTAACATTTCATGATTCAGAGTGTCGAACGCTTTACTAAAATCGAGAAGAACCATGCACGTACTATTTTTTTGTTTTTGATGATGTCTGATATCATCCAAGATATTAACTAATGATGTACTTGTGCTAAAGTTTTTCCTAAAACCAGATTGACTATCGGGTATGATATCGTTTGTGTCACAAAAAAATCTAATTTGATTATAAATATGCCTTTCTAAAATTTTGGATGTAGCGGGTAGCGGCCTCAAGTCTGTAAATTCTTTAGGTTCTGCTATTTTTGGTAAGGGTTTAACAATAGCTTTCTTCCATATTTCTGGAAATACACCCCCCAAAATACATGTGTTGATTATATTCAGCAAGGCATTCGTACAAACTTTAGGTCTCTCATAGAGAAACCATCCTCTCCAATGGCATTTGATGAGATATTAGTTACAATTTTGATTACACTGGCGCTGTCTAATAGTTGGATGCTAAGAGAATCGTTAATGTTTACATTGTTTTTGTAAAAATTGATTAATTCTTGGAAAGCAGTGTCTGGTAAATTGTCTGCTGGAAGTAATTGTGTATGTCATTTACATTTTGTAAGTGTTCGGGTATAGTTGAGTGACTTTTCTTGCATGTTATGTTGAGCTTTTTGGTAGTGTCCCAAAATTCCTTACCTTTCTTTGTTGAGAGTAAGTTAAAGAATGTATTTTTTCTCGGATAACTGCACGCTTTGTATAGTTCCTTAGTTGTTTATAATATTCAAAATGAGCCTGTGATTTTGATTTTTGAAATTCTTTATGAGCTTTATCTCTTAGTCTGATTAAAATTCTTATATTTTGAGTTATCCAGGGTACATAAGGTTTTTCGGTTATTTGTTTTGTTTTTACCGGAGCATGTTTATTCAGAACAGTTACTATATTTTTATTAAAGACTTCTATTTTTTGGTCGATTTGGTTTATATAGTAAATATCCTCCCATCCAAGTAGAAACCCTTCATTTAAGAAGGATTCTCTGTCTATATTATTGTAGTCTCTATATTTAATAGTCTTTTGTGATTTATTTATTTTTGACTTTCGAAAGTCTGCTTTGCCAAGGACGAAAAGCTTATAGTCCTTGAAAATCGATCCAGTGTCGGTGGAGAAAAATGTCAAAAAAATTAAATATTGACCAAACTTCGTTTTTTGATGGCGTGAGGGAGGAAAATTTTCTGATGTTAGCATATTAATACACTCCCAACCCAATTTTACGCACTTATCAGATATATTTCACACATCATAGATTTCCCCGTACATTTGTCTTTAAAAAATATTTACAGATGCTTTTCGTGTGTTTGACGTGGGTCGATCAGAGTAACTCTTCAACATTCTAGCGACGGACGAATGTACTTTTACGCGAGACGCTTTTCTCTAAAAAAATGCCGTTCTGACCCCCATGTTATATGAAACTTTTTGCTTATTTTAATCCCCTCTATCACCCATTTAAATAATGACTATCATAACGTTTACACCCTGTATATAGTTGTATAATATATAGTATATAAGTAACCATCAAAAGCTATTATAATCAGCTGTCAAACATTGTTGACAAACACCAGAGCTCCAAGGAAATGAGGCTACCGTGTACGGACACGCTCATCGCTGTTGCAATTTGTTTTTCATAAAAAGCTCAAATGGTGCACTATTTATCTGTTGAAACCTACGTCTTTTTTATCGCCATTAGAAATATAGGGTCAATCTACTTGACTCCATTTTTTTTGTTAGTCATTCACAACTACCAAATCACAATCTAGTAAATGTTTATTAACACTGCTCGCTAAAATATCCTATAAGATCTGACTTTTACTCTTCACTTCAAATGATCGCAAATTGAGGAATCAACCAGATAGATATGGAATTCCGAGTGATAATTTCTCTTGTACTCCGGTTCAAATTTAATTCACGGAAAATCAATATTTTTTTTTTCATTTCAGGGCATCTGTATCTTGTACGGCCACCATCGATACCAAGATAGAGCATGCTTTGGTAAGTATGAAACGTTTTTTTTTTTTCGATAACATTCAGCATAAATTAAGGACTTATTTGATCGAGTTCATCACCTGTACGAGTACGCGGGCCATTTTTAAAGTAATAACCAATTGCGCAGTGATTCATTCGGTTTTTAAAAGGGTTCATTCTGCGATAAAGACAAACTTCTTTGGGGATTACTCGTTCATTCACCATACAGCCCTACTTAGCACCATCAGACTTCGATCTTTTTCCAAAACTTGAGGAATTTCTTAGTGGAAAGTGCTTGGAACACGAGGACATGTTGAAAGAAACAGTTACTAACTGGTTTAATGATCAGGCGGTAGCGTTGTTTAACGGTGGGTTCCAAAACCTGGTGCCACGACTTGCCAAATGTTCAGACCATTTTGAAAAACGAGAAAAAGTTCGTATTATGATACAATTCATATAGTTATAAGGTTCTCCTTTCACTTAAAAATTGACCCTGGTATTAGTGATGAAGTAGTGAAATGGTACATGCTAGTATTGCGAATGGACTAAGGAACAGATAAGCGAATTCCCACCTATCCTAACAATAGAAGAAAATCCATTCTGAGGCAGCGTTGGCCATCTAACGGTAATGTAATGAAAACTCCTTTCATAGGTTATGTTTTTTTTGTGAGGGGGGAATGCGTTTATGCACCATACCATAGCCCGAGCTACAGCGTGTGTGGGACTCCAGGTTGTCTTGAGGAGACCACCTAATACCCACTAAACCCTAACCTCCGCGTGGCCCGACTCATCAGCGTCTCGGTAAGGCCATGTGTTGTGCATGACCTGCGGTCTGCTACAACGCCTCCTCATGTGTTTCAGTCTCTGGGAACGTCGGGTTCGTTCCCTTTACCTCGCACAGTTCTATCGATGTCGTTAAGCGAGCATCGATAGAGGGTTTGCTGCGTTCTCTTGAAACTCTTGTTGTTGAAAAGTCAAGAGTTTCAAGTCCTCTACTTGTTTGTTACCTGGTCCTGATGGGTTCTGGTCCTGGTCGTCCTGGTCCTCGTCCTCTGCTTCCATTCCACGTCGTGGGGGGGGGGGGGGGAGGAGCAACCGCGAGTCAAGGTTCCAGTTAGCGCCTGCCAACTGTGACTTGGGTCTAGGGTACTTGGCTCTGCGGTTGCGAGGCCTCTCGTCCGGATCGTAGTCCATGAGGAGTCTTAGCTGCTCGTTCGGGTGGTCCTGAGCTTTCTGGAAGGTCTTCTCTGCTTTTTCCTCATGTACTCGTGAATGGTGTCCCAATGCAGGTCTCTACGCAAGGTTGAGTTTCTTACGTAGGATGGTGCACTGGTGGCGATCCGAAGCAGCTTCATCTCTACAGGGTTATCCAAATTAAGTGTCCACCATTAGTAACTTTGTTATTAGTGAAAATACAAAGTTGTTTGAATTAGCAAACTAGTAGCATTTTTAACGCTGGTAAAAATGAGAAATAAAAAAAACAATTGAGAGTCGTTATTTTGATTTTTTTCAGTAAAATAACATTTTTTTAAAAGGAAACCCCTGTATATTATATTTTTTTCTGTTAAAGCATCAAATTTTAAACAAAAAAGCTTACAATAACTTTTCTCCTAGGTTACAAATTGTTGAAGTTATGGCCTCCAATCTGAAACAATTAAATTGTATCGACAAACTTTATTTTCAACATCAACTTATAATCTTACAAAATACAATAACAATTTTTTTTAAAGAAGATGCTCGAAAACACCACCTTGTTCTTCAATACATTTTTGGGCACGTTTTTCAACTGCTCGAACTGTCTTAAGTATGGTCCTACCATCTATCTGGGTTATCTTTTCCCTAACTGCAGTCTTTAACGCGTCAAGGTTATCGTACCTTCGCTTGTAAATTTGGTTCTTTAAGTAACCCCACAAGAAGTAATCAAGTGGGTTTAGATCTGGTGATCTGGGAGGCCACTGTATTGGGCCATTTGTTCCTATCCACTGATCATTAAAAGTAGTACTTAGAAAATGATAAGTACCTCTGGAGTTGTGGGCAGGTGCGCCATCTTGCTGAAAATGCAGATGATGTCTACTTATAAGATCCAATTCGTCTAAGAAATTAGTCAGAATTTCTGACATAAATTCCACATATCTTTCACCAGTTAGGGTTCCCTCATAAAAGAACGGGCCAACAATTTTTGAACCAATTATACCGCACCAAACGTTGAAACTGAAACGGACTTGTGGGCCTCTTGGATGTACTAACAAAAGATTTTCTCTTGACCAATAATGGTGGTTTTTTCTATTAAACATTCCAGAATTTGAAAAATTTGATTCATCTGTCCATAAAAGGTAACGAAAGTTATTTACATTTTGGCGACAGAAGCTAAGATACCAATGGCAAAAAACAAGTCTTATCTCTGGATCCCCTGCCAAAAGCGTTTGAACTGGTCGGTACTTATACGGAATAAATTTGTATTTTTTTAAAATCCTTTGAACAGTACCATAACTGAAATTAGAGTCCTTGAGAATATCTGCTATTGAATTCTCACGATAAGCTTCAAAATATCCAATAACTGCAATTTCCGTGGCCTCGCTTATTATGAATTCTTTTTTTGCCCTTGTTTTAGCAAAAACATTTTCGTTGCCCCTAAATTTTCGATAAAGTCTCAGAAAATATCGTTCATACGGTTGAATGCGAGCGGGATATAATTCACTGTAGTATTCTCTTGCTCTCAAGGAGGATTTTCTGCACACTAAGTAGCATTCTAACATATCACACTTTTCTTCATGGGAGAACATTTTTCTTTAAATTAATGACACAATAAAGCTTATAAACAAGTATTTACACTAATGTTTGACATTATTTGATTTTATCATTGTTTTCCAAAGCCTTCTAGTTGCGAGTATGTCCAGTTTAACAATTTGTCGCTTATCTTAATGCTGTCAAATCGCGAACGCCATGTTGTTTTCATAGCCGTCTTAATATTATAATACTGCAAATAATTAAAAATATTTATCGTTATTTTGACTTTATTTTTGACTTTAGCGGAAAAGTCATTATGAACTTTTTTGTTTAAAATTTGATGCTTCAACAGAAAAAAATATAATATACAGGGGTTTCCATTTAAAAAAATGTTATTTTACTGAAAAAAATCAAAATAACGACTCTCAATTGTTTTTTTTTTATTCCTCATTTTTACCAGCGTTAAAAATGCTACTAGTTTGCTAATTCAAACAACTTTGTATTTTCACTAATAACAAAGTTACTAATGGTGGACACTTAATTTGGATAACCCTGTAGAGCAGCAGGCGTAAGCGAGCTGAGGTCTGGCGATGGCCTTGATCAGCCGTAGCTTGGTCGCTAGCGGCATCCGGCTGTGTCTACCCAGTAATGGGTAGAGTTGAGCCATGGCTGCTCTGGTCTTTGCGATGACAGCTTCTATGTGGGCTTTCCAGGTGAGGGACTTGTCAAATACGATCCCCAGATATTTGACATTGTCGCTCCACTGGATATCTTCGTCGAAGATGGATGCTTCGAGAGGTCTTGCAATCCTTCTTCGTTGAATGAAGATTGCCTGCGTCTTTTGGACGTTGATGCGGATTTTCCATTTCACGCACCAGTCCTGGATGTGGTCCAGTTCATCCTGTAGTCTCCTACGGATGATCTCGGGTCGTCTATGCTTGGCGGCTATAGCAGTGTCGTCTGCATATAGGGCCAGCATTGTGTCAGCTGTCTTCGGCACATCGTGAGTATAGATGTTGTAGAGCAGGGGGGCTAAGGCTGACCCCTGGGGCACGCCTGCTTCCAGCTGTCGTCTTGTTCAGTGGCATGTAGCAATCTTCACCGTAAACCATCTTTGTGTTAGATAGCTCTGGGTCAGTTGGCATATGTTTGCATCGAATCCGGCGGCTTCCATTTTGGCGATGAGTCCATCGTGCCAAACTCGGTCGAAGGCACGCTCCACGTCCAGCAGGACGAGGCCGGTTGCCTCATGGAGATTGAAGCCACTGGTGATGTTTTCTGTCAGTTGTAGCGCTTGGAGTTCCGAATTGCTCTGGGGGAGAAGTTCAAGTTCTTCTGCCTGCTTCTCGAGTCGAACGGCGATAGCCTTTTCGACTACTTTGCCCATCGAGGAAACCAGGCTGATGGGCCGGTAGTTCTGAGGCAACTTCCGGTTCTTGCCTGGCTTGGTGAGCATTATAACCTGGGCTTCCCGCCACCGCCGCGGGAAGCGGTCAATGAAGAATAAAGAATAATAAGTAAAGTAACGGCATTCTATCATAGATCCAATATGGCGATTCATAATTTCCTTGATCGCCGCTACGGTATGGGTATCAAATGAAGGAGCTTAAGGCGGCTCCGACGCAGTGAGTTTCAACCTTATCCTCCGATGAAGACGCCACAAAGCACAGAATTGTTAGTTATTTTTATATCAACTTTTTTTGGTCTGAGTTTCTTTCCAAGATTCTTGCGTTTGAGTCTTTGATCCATCTTAGTGATAAGCGAGGTTGGACTAAGCTTAGAACGCAAATGTATTTGGACCACATAGACATTCCGCTCGGTATTGTGGCTCACTACAGCTGCAACACATCTTCCATGGTATGACCTCTTCTTGCAATAATGTATTCGCTTACCCCAATGCATTTTGCGATTATAGAGTTGAACTGGTCCACACTATTGTTGTCCTCATCATGAATTAAACTCACTGAATTCGTAATTAAAATTGTCGCATATGACCTTTTATTGTCCATTATCAACCTTGATAAAAAATTCACTCAAGAACAATCACACCAACAAGAGTACAACGCAACAATTCAACAACACAATATCGACGAACAGTAACAAGGGTAGAACAATACTAAAGCTGAATACCAAAATAGGAAACGATTGCAGGCTAGATCGCTAATCGAAATCCGACTCTGTTATTATAAAAATTTACCTCGGTAGGCACCCGCAGTCATCCTTTCCTCTTTTAAAGTAGCGCCGACCACCGTCTAAGACCAGCCCACAATCGTTTCCTTTTCACCCCCCGTTACCTCAGCAGATGGTGCTCGGGATTGTAGGAGCCCCGTTAATAAGGGAAACACGATGAGCAAATAACATCATACTAAATTCCATATGGCAATCGCTGTAATATATCGATTTATCATTCTATGATTTATTGTTGGACCAGCGAAAGATTGCAAGCCGAAAGAATGCGGACAAAAAATTGCGAAGTTGTCAGATGTTCTACATAAAATGCGGTCCATACATATTAACATATTTAAGATATAGAATTGTTCCGCTGAATTTGGCAATGTAGCTGGAAAACCCAGGCCGCAGGTAAACATCCGGTCGCTGATTGGTCCAAAACTCTTATCTTATCTGAAACTAGAATAACGTGCCGATGGCACGGTCATTTATAAACCTACTCCCATAGGCGTAGGCAGTTGGCAAATACTTTGAAAATATAATTTACTGTTTAGTGGTGATAATGGAATTCAAGCATGGGAAAGTTATTCACAGCCAGGCAAGGGAAATAATAGCAAACGTGATACGTGCTTGCGATGCAGAAGCGGCTAACAATACTTTCGTTTATCCACTGGTAGCTAGAAATGCAAGGGCGGCATATTATACGGGTGTTAGTGAACGAACTATAAGTAAAATTAGAAAAGAAGATAAAGACAGGCAAAATGCAACCTCCACACAGCCTTTAGCTTCTCCCGGAAAAAAGAGATCACGCCCTTCTGTGATCCAAAAAATTGATGGAGTCGATTTTTCCATTATTCGGAGAATGATAGAAAAATTTTACTGTGATTTTAAAGTGGTACCTACTTGTAGTAAACTTCTAATCAAACTGAAGGAAGAAATGGAATTTCCATTTGGTAAAGAATCGTTGAGGCTGCTTTTAAAAGCAAAAGGATTTTACTGGCGTAAATGCCACAACAAAAGGAAATTACTAATGGAAAGACCCAGTATTTTACATTGGCGATACAAGTATCTTAGGTCTATTAAAAAGTTCCGGGAAGAAGGAAGGCATATTATTTATTTGGACGAAACTTGGGTTGATAATGACCTCACTTTCAAGAAATGCTGGCAAAGCGAAGAAATTATGGGTGTCCTGAGCAATATAAGTTCTACAGGTAATAAAGTTTCTTTCACCTCGATTTTGCTTATTATACATTTTTCTCAATTTTGGAATATTCTTAATAAGTGCTCATTTAATTTGTCTAATTGAATACATAATCCCTTGCAAGTATTTTTTTCTCAAAAATATGTTTTTTATACATAGTGATTCAAAAAGGTGTTGGCAAACTTAAAATAACACTAAAATGAGGCTATTTATTCATTTCCAGGACGACTTATAATTGTTCATGCGGGTTCGCAAGATGGTTTTGTTCCTGGAGCCTGTCTCATTTTCAAGGCTGGCTGTGCCACTGGTGATTATCACGGTCAAATGAACCAAGAAAATTTCACGAAGTGGCTTACTGAAAAACTATTTCCTAACATTCCTCCTAATAGTATTATAATAATGGATAATGCACCTTACCATTCAGCTTTGGAAGACAAGCCTCCAACTAGATCTTCTCTAAAAAGAGACATCATCACGTGGTTGAGCAAAAAAGGTATAGAGCATGATCCTAATGCTAAAAAAATGGAGCTTTATGAAATAGCTTGTCTACATAGGCCACCATCTGATGAGAAAAATTATAAGATAGATAATTTAATAAGAAGTTTCGGACACACCCCACTTCGAACGCCACCCTATATGTGTCAGTTTAATCCCATAGAGATGATTTGGGCACAAGTAAAATTTTTCATTAGAAGCCATAATACAAGCGGCGAATTTACTATAAAAAAACTAGATGAAATTTCTAATAAGGCCATCGCTTCAGTAAGTGCCAGTGACTGGCAAAAGGTTATTGGACATGTTATAAAAATTGAAGATGAATATTGGGAAAAAGACAGTCTCATTCAAGAAATACAGGAAGAAATAATAATCAACATAGGAGGTGAAAGTGATAGCAATGACAGTTCCTCAGACAGTGATCATGACTCTAATCAGGATTGAAACTATACTAGATTGGCTACCTTTTAGACTTTTTAGATATTCATTTATTATACTATTGGTTTGTGGCTTTTAGTATCTCAGTAGAAAGTCTAATTCTATGTGTTGTTTATGGGTTATTTCATCAAGAAATTACTTTTTGTTTTCCTATATTTTTCTATTCAGTCAGATATTTTTGACTTGTTGTATTCTATTTTAGAAGAATGCATAATTTGTTTTGCTGTTCAATCATAATGCGTACATAGGAATATTACTTGTTGCCTAAAAAATATATTTATTTTGTTCTCAATATTCAGTGTTTGTGTATATTTATTTCTTATAATGTATGTTTGGTATCACGTCATTATGAATCGCAAAAAAATATTAATACTACCAGTTGTAATAAAATATAAATTCAATTAATAATTCAAGTCTCTCCGATCTCCGCCTATGACTCCATATAAAATCGTCTAATGGTAAGGTTTTTTCATCGCATTTCCCCCTTTCGTCCCTAGCAATCTTTGGCTGGTCGATCAATATATCTATTGAAATTTTATTATAGCAATAAAGTAAGATGTTTCATAGAGTTCTATTATTAAAATATATAGTAAGTTAAATAGGAATTACCAAACCAGTTATTTGACATCATAAATACTAAAAAGTGTAAAAATAAATAGCAAGCTTTTATCTAGCTGAAAATAACTTTTTCCTATTGGAGTCCCAAAACAAATGTTCTGAATACTGTCCGACCGAAGATCATTTTTTTTAAAACTAAATTCCAAGAATGCTTCCATAATAAAGATACTCTGATAAAGTTGACATTAAATCACCCGTTATTATCAATTACAGGATGTGGTGAAGAACCACCTGACCCATGCAGTACGACTAGAAGTGGAAGATCTGAAGGTCAAAATCAATGAACTTGTGGATCGAATCACATACTTGGAATATGAAAATGATCTGCTACGAGCAAATGTAGATCCAGATGTTCTGGCTAATTTGGAAAACAATGTCACCAAGTGATTTTGATATTTGATGTAACTATTTCAAATTTCTCTGTGTGTCAGCACATGGAATGAGGTGAAAAGACAAGATGCCTGGTGCTATGAAATCTGATATGTGATTATTTATAGTTTATTTTGCAACGTCCTTTTCTCCAGTCCAATCTTTAATGGCTATTTTAAAAAACAGGGGGGATTTCATCCAGAGATCAAAAAAAAATTTGTTTCACTACTCACCCGATAAATCGCCTAGGTAAATAACAAATGTCATTTAAAATTGGATCCTACTGACTTCATTAGGTATGCCAGCTTAACAACTAAGCTGATATTCCTAAATATTTGAATACCAGGAAAATAGTACAACTCGTTATATAACGGGTGATTTTTTAAGAGGTATAGGATTTGATTTTCAAAAAAAAAACACAAAAAATTTGAAAAAACGATTGAATCTTTATTTGAGTCGACAGAACGGTCGATATAATTTAATGTTTAAAGATTATTTCATGTAAATGTTGGCCGTGGTTCCGCTTTAGATGGCCCATGCGCAAGGTCCAATTTTGGCACACTCTCTCCAACATATCGGCCGGTATCTCACGAATAAATCCTTCAATATTGGCTTCCAGTGCGTCAATCGTTGCTGGTTTATCCCTGTAGACATTAGCCTTAACATGGCCCCACAAGAAATAGTCCAAGGGCGTTAAATCACACGATCTAGGCGGCCAATTGACGGGCCCCAACCATGAGATAAACTGTTCACCGAACTCGCCTCTCTATACGGCCATTGTTTCGTGTGCGGTGTGGCATGTGGCACCGTCTTGTTGAAACCACATATCAGCCAAGTCCAGCTCGCAAAAAAAAGTTTGTTATCATCGCACGGTAGCGCTCGCCATTCACAGTTACGTTCCGGCCATTGTCGTCTTTCAAGAAGTACGGCCCGATGATGCCACCGGCCCATAATCCACACCAAACAGTGATTTTTTCGGGATGCAATGGTAGCTCTTGCAATGCTTGTGGCTGGTCTTCACTCCAGATGCGGCAATTTTGCTTGTTAACGTACCCATTCAACCAGAAATGAGCTTCGTCGCTGAACACAATTTTTCTATAAAAATGTGGATCTTCCTCCAACTTTGCCAGCGCCCATTCACCAAATTGGAAACGTTGTGGGAGGTCGTGTGGCTTCAATTCTTGTACCAGCTGTATCTTATTAGGATTTACACCCAAATCCTGTCGCAAAATTTTCCACGTAGTGGAGTAACAGAGGCCCAATTGCTGCGAACGGCGGCGAATCGACATTTCACGGTCATCACTAACACTGGCGGATACAGCCGCAATATTTTCTTCAGTCCTCACTCTACGTCTGCGTGTTGGTGGTTTAATGTCCCATAATGTAAACTGGGTTCGAAATTTAGTCACAAGCTTCCGAATAGGTCCCTCAGTAGGCCGACCAAATTGCCCATAAATTGGAAGCAGTGCTCGATGCACTCTCTTAAAAGAGCATGAATTTTGATAGTAAAATTCAATAATTTGCAAGCGTTGTTCGTTCGTAAGTCGATTCATGGTTAAATTATAGACCAAACTGAACAAGTTTGTCAATGACACAAGACACGATTCACGCGTCATCTGTCAAAAACAGTGTTGCCAAAAAGATACTAGCAAAAAAATCACCCTATAGCTGTTCTTGAGTAACTCAATAATCGAGATAACATTGACGCTAAAAATCAACGTTCGCACCTTACTGCCCTTGAAATTAGGCCAGTTCCAATTTGCTGTCTGTAGCATGTTGCATTCATTGTATTGAGTTTATCAGTTTGACAGCAGGTAACTAGATGTTTCATGGTATTCGCAAAAATAGTAAGAATAGTAGGGAACGTCATGATATCTGATTTACGCATACCCTAGAGCAAATGACGCTAATCAATTGAAGGCATCGGAATCCAATAAATCGAACATAATGATAAATCGCGTCAGTAGTGAAAAAAATGATATACATACCTCCTTTGAGAAGGTCATTATTAGTCTCGCATTAGGCGTTACGTGGCTCAGGTTATAAAAGTCCTTGCCCAATAATGATGGCTCACTTCCCAATCAAGGTATGTGATGCACTATTTTATTTAACCTTTGAAATATCTTTCTTCTCTTTTACATAGTGTGCCCCGGAAAGAATTAAAAATATGGCTGTGCTAAAATCTCGTAAGTGTATGACCTAAATACCCAATACATGTGATCGCGATATTTTGTTTTGTATATTTTTGTACTATTATGATTATTTCAATGATGTAGACCAACCGGAGCAGATCATTTTGAAGATAATATTTACAATTTAGTTCAATTAATGACACCACATCTTAATTTATATTGATGCTTGTATAGGAATGTCTCAGAAGCAGGCGATATAACTTGAGAATCATTAAATCGTTACTGCAAAACTAGAAAATGTCTTCAAACATTTTGAGTTTTTCGATAATTAATTCAAATGAATACGTCAAACACCAATTACAAGTCAAAGCCAACTATGTGATATGTGCGTGAATATTCTACAAAATCGTGATAATCAAATTGATAATTCACATAAATTAAAAATGTCTATGTAATCCGGTATTTAGTTTTTGATCTGCTGAAGGTTGGTCTATAGATGTTTATTAATTTTAGAAATATTAAATTGTTGTGTAAGCGACAATACTTAATTATTAGCTGTAAGGTGTTCCTTGATGTAGCTTAACAGCATACTGATACTAAGCCATATAATTATTAAGAAATTAGTTGGATTACCTACATTTATTTCATTGTATACATTTATACTTTTGCTATTTTGTTTTGAAAATAAACTTTTTATTTAGTTTTAAAAGTTGTTTTTGTTCAATTTTGAGCAGAATTGACGATCACTACGTACGGTAGTGGTAACTGAGATTGCGTGTAAAGCATTCCAATTTTTAGTGACCATGAGAAGGTATCACATTACAAAAATGACGTCAAGTAAATTGACTCCATACTTCCTACGCCTTCGTTGTAGGTTCCAAAGAAAAGGATGAGTCAAATCAGTTTCAAAAGGCAAAATCGAATCGTGATTCGGTAGGTTCACTTAGGTACGATGAATCTTCGAACTCTGCATATCAAACTATACTAAGTGACATATAAATCCGAACATCCAGTTTAAATGGTTTTATTTTAATAAAATTTTGTATAAGTACTTAATGAAACATAATAAGTAAATGATAAAAATTTCAAAATGATTACACTGCTTTAAAGCCCTTTGACATTTAATAATGTGTAGATGCACCCTGATATGCTACGCATTCTCCAATGCGCCTAGGCATGCTTCTGATCAGGTGGTCAATGTCCTCCTGTGGTATCTCATTCCAGGCAACCACCAACTCCTCTCGAAGTGCTTCTAGAGTCTGAGGAGGACGTTGCAAATTGAGCAATCTCCTACCCATCATATCCCACACGTGCTCAATTGGGGATAAGTCGGGAGATCTTGGTGGCCATGGTAACAATGTGACATCATTATGTTGAAAGAAGTCTATTGTGACTCTTGCAACATGTGGTCGGGCATTATCTTGTTGGAAAGTTGGATCTGCCAGGGTGTCAAGATAGGGTAAAAGATGGGGTTGTCGAACTTCGTGGATATAACGCTGCGCGTTCATATTACCTCTGATGAAGATTAAAGGTGACCTGGAACCATAAGCTATAGCACCCCAAACCATAACTCCCACAGTGTGATGAACATGTCTTTCAACAAAAAACTGTGGATTCCTCCTTTCACCACGTCGCCTTCTAACCCTGGCACGACCATCGTGCATGCCTAAACAAAATCGAGACTCGTCACTAAAGACAATACTGTTCCATTCCTGATCCCAGAGTGACCGTTGTCTGCACCACCCAAGGCGATTACGTCGGTGTTCTCGAGTTAAAGGGAGGACCCAGTGTGGCCGGTATGAAAACAAGCCAAAACTTCTCATTTGTCGGTAAATACTTCGCATGCCAATAGGTCTTCCGTGTTCTGCAAACCATTCATTTGCAATGGACCTGGTAGTGGACAAACGGTCCCTTAAGGCCAATAATCTTAGGCGGCGATCTTCACGGTCTGTTGTTCTACGACGGCGTCCAGTGCCCCTTGCTCTTTGCGTTCGGCCTTCTCGAAGCCATGCCTGACAACACCTAACCACAGTGTCTACACTTCTTTGCACTCTAACTGCAATTGCCCGAAAAGAAAGTCCAGCTTCCCGAAGTCCCACTATACGGCCCCTATCAAACTCACTAAGTTGACGAAATCGTACAGGTCTCCGTACTCTAGGCATCGTAACCGATCGTAAAGGATGTCAAGAACCAAAATCCGCCAACGTTGATTCTTTACTGCGGCTGAAATATTCATTTTTAGAGCGTTAGTGAATTAAAAAAAAGCAGTATTAAAACCGGAATGTCCAACTGATAAGGCTGAAACCGTTCACCGGATTTAAATCCCATCGAACATATGTAGGATATGATGGGGAGCAGACTATCCACTTTGCACCATCCGTCACAATCTCATTTTGTCGATGCCTACACGTATACAATTTTTTTATTATAATTTGTCACTAAAATTTCGTGAGAATATTATCGTTTCATTCTTGATGTGAAACTACCTCATTGCCAAAAAATCAAGTTGAAGAAATGATTTTTTCTGGGTGTAACACTCCTAATGTCACTGAGTATATTTCTGTTTTCGTGGCAGATGTAGGGAATATAGGTGTCTGTGTGACTGTCTAACAGGTGTATAGTATCACTGAGATTAGCAGCTTCTTAATAACAGAAGGTCTTTCATATACACCAAATATGCAACAATTTACAACGATCTACCGCAAACAGCTTCCAACCTACATATTTCATTCTCTCCAAACATCCAAACAATGTCTGAAAATGAGCAGGATTTTTTGGAGCGTTGTAACACTGTGTTCCGACGATTTTATTTCCGTCGTCTCTGAATCAATTTTCAAAATCTACGACTACCTAAACGATGGAGTATTAAACTCACGATAATATTTGAACTTCGGTTCACAAATGTTTTGTTGCTTAACCTCTTAACCGTGTTGCCAGAATTCGGATGTGGTTGTATGTATCGTGTCATAAAAATATTAAATGCGAGAATATTCGCATTACCCGGTAAGATAAAAAGATGCGCATATATTCGTCGTTCCCGTAATGTGATATCCTTACAGATAGAAAGTATGCGTATATACTCGTTTCACTCGATAGGGAGAGCGTATGAATAAGATAATAAAAATGCAAGCATGTATCCAATAATTCCAATTACTTTATTGAAAATTATTGACAAAAAAGCTCACTAAACTACGAATGATATAAACCAAAACATGGTGCAGCACACAGTCCAGTTTTACATGATTCGCACCAATATATACTCTCTTTCCTCTTGCCTTTCTCTCTACACACTACACACCTTTTGGTCGGTTTCTTTTTATGTGCCGTGGATGGTATTACAGATGGAAAATGTTTCTCAATCAGCCGACTTGCATTTTTTGTTTTTGATCGTCTACCTGCATTACAATTCTTATCTCTTCCATATTTTTCTATCAGTTTTTCAGCTAAATCTATTACAAAGTTCAGACGTGACTTCCTACCACCAAGTTTTTTGTAAAGGATGTAACTGTTTAATACAGTTATATCTAAGAAATGAAGAAATATTTTTCTGTAATATTTTTTGAGGTGTGTACGTGACATTGCATAAAAATGGAGCATATTGTCTGTCAAATCTACTCCACCCATTTTTTTATTATAATATATTATAATAACTACTGGCTTTTTCATTACCTTCCCTCTTTTTGTTTTCTCTACAAACTGATTGTCATGTAAAGTACTTATCATCACATTTCTTTTTTATCTTTATACTTCAGCAACATAATTTTCTTCCTAAATAAGGCATATGCTTCTCCGTGTTCCAACTTTTTCTCCTTCAGCTCTTTTGGTATACCTTTCCTATTCAACCTCATTGTGCCAACACAATCTGTGCGCCTCATCGATAACTTTTCTGCCAAGTCTACGCTAGTATAGTAGTTATCGAGAAACAGACAATAACCTTTATCTAAGATATTATTTGAGAGTTCTAATACCACTCTAGCTGATAAAGGTTCACTCGCGAAGCTGTCGCTATAGTTTGTATCAGCTCCGGTATATATCAAAAAGTTATAGGTGTAGCCTGTTGAGCTTTCAGCTAAAATAAATAGTTTTATCCCAAACCTTTTTCTTTTCGATGGGATGTACTGTTTCCACGTTAGGCGACCTTTCCAACCTAGTAGTGACTCGTCAATGGAAATGTTTTGTTCAGGAATGTAAACTTCCATAAACCTTTTTTGAAGGTGATCTAGGACAGGTTTAATTTTGAATAGCTTCCTCTGAGAAGTGTTTCCGTCAATTTCGTTATTATTAGAAAAATGTAGGAACTTACATATAAGTGCAAACTTCCTCTCAGTCATCACCTTGGAAAAAAAGGTGTTTCTATGCTTTCCCTTTTCGAAAAGTACATTTCGTATGATGGTTTTACGCAAACACTTTGTAATAACAACAATCCAAGAAAAGTTTTTATTTCATTAGCATCCGTTTGAGTCCAGGCGCTAACTCTTGAACGAGGCCTGATATTTTCATAGTTCTTGATAATGAACTGATTGGCGTACCTAGAATAAGACAAATGTAGAATATTCATAATAAGTGTAGAGTAACACCATTTTACCTATTTGTTTCTTCTACTACAAGGTTTGTCAAATGCTGATCCATGAATAACTCAAATATCTCCAAAATATTATCCGAGCTAATATCAGGAACTTTTATACCAGGATCTGAAGTGAAGGGAAAGTTAGGGCGCGGTATACCTTCTTTGACCCAAGGTACCTCTACGTCGTCTGCAGCCTCTTCTGGGTATTCACTTTCTGATCCATCTGCCATCGCAGCTTGATAAATCATAGTTAGTATCAATAGAACTGATAGACAAAAGATCGCTGTTGTAATCGAATGAAGATTCACTCGCGTCAGACATTACAAAAGGGGTAGCCCGCAAAACGCCTGTACTCCAGCCTATATCAGTCCTCAACTGAGCTCATTTAACAGAAAGCAGCAAGTTTTGTATACCATTCGAACGTGCGAAGAGTGGGGATTCCCATAGAACATAATAGCGACTATATTCGTATTATTCGTGAAATGCGGCGTTTAAAAAGGTGAGGCGAATATACTCGTACTACCCAACCAAGTTAGTTTATTACTTGGCGAATATATTCGTCATATTCGGTTAAGAGGTTAAAGATATCTGCATCACACAAGTCCGAGTTTACTCATTTATGTCGGTTTGTCATTCTGTGTCTGTTGTATATCAATGCGTCATAAGCACTGAGTCAATCTACTTGACGGAATATTCAGAGAACCATCCTAGACAGAGGAACACAAATTAAAGGTTAAAGGCGAAATAAGGATCATAACATTCCGAAAAATGTATTAGTAGATATAAAAACAGTTAAGTTATCATTTACAAAAGCATCGCAGAACACTAAAGTGGTACGTACTCCTAATATCAAAATATGTCTCCTGTAGTGGTGCGGCGAAGCCCATTTGCACAGTCGGCATTGGCCTCCACGACGATGCAGTGTCGCGCCGTGCACGCAACGCCAACGATTGCCTGGTTATTCCAAATTATGAGAACACTATACATCGGACCTTTATCATTTAATTTTTCCGATGCTACCGGGATCAGAAGTTTCTTATTGATAGAAATCCTTTGCCTAATAACAAAGACGTTACATTTACA